GAAATGAAAAAGCCAATGCTCAAATTCGTATGGAATTGCAAGAGACCACAACTAGCCAAAATAGTCTTGATAAAGACAAAGTTGGAAGAATCACACTTCCTGATTTCAAAACTTACTACAAATCTACAGTAATCACAATAGTGCAATGCTTGCATAAGAATAGACTTATAAGTCAATAGAGGAGAATAGAGAGTCCAGAAATAAACATCAAAGGTCAATTGATTTTCAAGAGTGCCAAAACCAAAGACAAAAGAATAGTCTCTCCAACAGATGGTGCTGTAAGAACTAGATATTCACATGCAAGAGAAAAAAGCTAGACCCTTACCTCATACCATAAACAGAACTTAACTCAAAGTATATCAAAGACCTAGACGTATATAGGCTGAAACTATAAAACTCCTAGAAGCAAACATATGGGTAAATCTTCAGGGCCTTGTATTTGGCAATAGAATCTTAGATATGTCACCAAATGCACAAGCAATGAAAGAAAAAGTAGATAAATTAGAGTTCATCAAATTAAAACCATTTGTGCATCAAAGAAACACTATCAAAAACAAAAAGAAAAATTAACCCCCCAAAATAAGAGAGAGTATTTCCAAATCATGTATTTGATAAATGTCTAGCATCCAGAATATGTAAAGAACACTTATGATTCAACAACAGAAAAGCAAACAACCTAATTTTAAAATGGGCAAGGGAATAAAGTAGGCATTTCTCAAGAGAATATATGCAAATGGCTAATGGGAAAATGTAAAGATGCTTAACATCATTAGCCATTGGGGAAATGCAAATCAAAACCATAATGAGATAACACTTCAAAGCCATGAAAAAGAAAAAAAAAACGAAAATAGCAAGTACTTATGAAAATGTGGAGAAATTTGGAATTCTCATATGTTGCTGGTAGAAATTCTGCCACTGTGGAAAAAAAAAAGATTGACAGTTACTAAAAAATTTCAACATAGAGTTACCATATAGCCCAGCAATTCTACTCCTAGGTATATATTCAAAAGAACTGAAAACAGGTATTCAAACAAAAATGTGTACACAATGTTTATAGCAGCACTATTTACAGCAGCCAAAAGGTGAAAACAACACAAATGTCCATCAAGTGATTACTGGATAAAGAAAATATGGTCTATCCATACAATGAAATATTATTCAGCCATAAAAAAGAATGAACTACTGATACATACCACGATATGAATGAACCTTGACCATCATACAAAGTGAAGGAAGCGAAACACATTAGGCCAAATATTATATGATTCTATTTATATGAAATGTCCAAAGTAAGCAAGTCCATAGAGACAGAAAGATTAGTGGTTCCAGGGACTGAGAAGAGGTGTGATTGGGGAGTAACTGCTAATGGGAACTACATAGGAATGATTGTTCCACAATATTGTAGCTGTATTAAAAGCCACTGAATTGTAAATTTTAAAATGTCTTTGGGGTGCCTGAGTGCCTCAGTCAGTTGGGTGTCTGACTTCGGCTCAGGTCATGATCTCGTGGTTTGTGAGTTCGAGCCCTACATCAGGCTCTGTGCTGACAGTTTGGCGCCTGGAACCTGCTTGCAATTCTGTGTCTCCCTCTCTCTATGCCCCTACCCTGCTCATTCTCTCTCTCTCTCTCTCTCTCAAAGATAAATAAACATTAAAAAATTTTAAATATCTTAAATGATTTATGTTATATGAGTTTTATCTCATTTTAAAAAAATTAGACTTTTAATTGAATTGGCATTGAATTTATACGACTATTTATTTTTTTAAAACTATTTTTTTAATGTTTTTATTTATTTATAGGAGAGAGAGAGAGAGAGACAGCGTGAGCATGGGAGGGTGAGAGAGAGAGGGAGTCACAGACTCTGAAACAGGCTCGGGGCTCCGAGCTGGCAGTCAGCACAGAGCCCGACGCGGGGCTCGAACCCACGAACCGCGAGATCACGACCGAAGCGAAAGTCGGACGCTTAACCGACTAAGCCACCCAGGCGCCCCTAAAAATTTTAATTTTTAATGATATGAATTATTCCCATCAGAGAACATGATTTGTGTATTTGTTTGGATACCATCTTACTATTTACACTGAGATATAATTGTCATATAAAATTGTGTAAGTTCAAGGTATACAACATCTTGATGTGACCTTTATGTTTTGCAATATGATTACCACTGTAGTGTTAGCTAAAGTCTCACATTACATAATTATTTCTTTCTTGTGGTGAGAACAATTAAGGTTTTGTCTCTTAGGCTTTGAAGTTTATAATATAGTCTCGTTGGCTATCATAACTATGCTGTGCTTATTTATCTATTAGTTGCAAGCTTTTAACATTTAAACAACATATCCCCAATCCCCTCACCAAGGTGCCTCCAGTAATTATCATTTTACTCTCTTTTTATGAAATTATTGCTTTTTAGGTTCTACATGTAAGTTAGATCATACAGCATTTGCCTTTCTCTGTCTGTGATGTCCTCCAGGTCCATTCATGTTGATAGAAATAGCAGGATTTCCCTCTTTTTTATGGTTGCATAGTATTCCATATGCACCACATCTGCTTTATCCATTCATCCACTGATTTACATTAGGTTATCAACCTAAGTGCCAGTCCTATGTCCTCTGCTGAGGTTTTGTTATGTTTTTTCATATTGGTTATATATCTTTGTATTAAGTTATTTCTAAATATGCTATACTTTATCACTATTGTAAATGAAATATGCTACTAATATCCACTTCCATCTGGTTATTGCTAGCACAGAAAACGTATTTTTTTAATGTTTGACTTATATAAGCCACCTTGCCAAAATATCTCATTAATTCTGTCTTGTTCCCAAATTAATGTAAATGGTTTTAGTCAACATTTAAAATGTTATTTGTCTTTTTTTTCCTTGAGCTCTGACACTTTTATCTGTGAAACCTCTGGCAAGTTACTTGAGCTTTTTTTTTTAAAAAAAAAAATATATAGCTTATTGTCAAGTTGGTTTCCACATAACACCCAGTGCTCATCCCCACGAGTGCCCTCCTCCATGCCCATCCCCCCCCCCCCCCTCAGTCCTCAGTTTTTGTCAGCATTCAAGAGTCTCTCATGGTTTGCCTCTCTCCCTTTCCCCCACCATTTCCGCCCTTCTTCTCCCCCTTGTTCCTCCGTCAAGTTCCTCCTAATCCTCCTATACGTGCAAACATATGATATTTGTCTTTCTCTGCCTGACTTATTTCGCTCAGCATAACACCCTCAAGGTCCATCCACGTTGCTACACATGGCCAGATGTTATTCCTTCTCATTGCCGTGTAGTATTCCATTGTGTCGATAAACCACATCTTCTTGATCCATTCGTCCGTTGATGGACACTTAGGCTCTTTCCATGTTTTGGCTACTGTTGAGAGTGCTGCTCTGAACATTGGGGTCCATGTGCCTTACGTCTTATTTGTTAGTGCACTCAGCACAATGTTGAAGACTAGTAGTGATAATGATTATTCTCACCCTTTACTCATTTTAAGGGAAATAGTTCTAACATTCCACCATGTAATATGGTGCTTGCTGGAAGTTTTTGATGGATAATATTTTATCAAGTTAAGGAAATTAATGAATTAGTTTAATCATTAAATAAATATTTACTGAATACTTACTATCAGATTATATTCTAGGCACTTGGAACACATCAGCGATTAAACCAAATCACTCTGTCCTAGTAGATCTTACATTCTAGTTGGGGAAGACGATAAATAGGCAAGTTTAAAAGGCAAAATACAAACTATTTAGGTGATGTTAAATACTAAGAAAAATAAAACTAGGGAGGAAATTAGGAGGTGTTAAGGACAGGGTAAGGTTGGAACGTTAAATAGAGTGGGCAGAGGAAGGCCTCACTTAGAAAGAAATATAAAAACAAGATCTGAAAGAAGAGAGAGAGTAGGTCATGTGCATTCAGGAGGGAAATGACTCCATTTAAGGGAAGTCCAAGTGACAAAGCCTTGGGGCGGGAGCTTGTCAGTTCTATTTGAAGAACAACAGCAAGGAGGTAAGTTTGAAGTGTAGTGAGGGGAGAAAAGAGTAGGAGGAAATGAGAGCAGAGCGGACACATCCGTCCTAACCCTACTGTGAGGTTTCGTGGTGTCTGAGTCCAAATGAGATGGGGACATTGCAAGGTAATAAGAGGAGAGACGGGATACAGTTTACCTTTTAACATGGTTGCTCTGGCAGCAGGTGAAAAGTAGCCTAAGAGTGTGGGAGATAAGCATGGGAGTGAGGCGAAGAGTCGAAGAGCTATTGCAGGAGGATAAGATTTGGATCAGCCAGGGGGCAGCGGAATGGTGAGAAGTGGATAGATTCTGGGTACATTTTGAAAGGTAAACTGGATGGAATTGCTAATGGATCAAATATGGAAATGGAGAGAAATAGAGGTATTAAGGAAGATGACTAAGTGTTTAGCCTATTTCCAGTTGCTAGTGGTTTTTTTTTATGAATAAGAATTGATTTGAATTTAATACTTTTTCTGCATCTACTCATGATCAATATGGTCTTATTTAATTTCTTAATGTGGTGAATTACATTATTTAATTTTTATTATGCTAAATGAACTTTTTATTACTAAGGAGAGGACATCTTGGCTACCTTTTTCCATGCTCTCCTTCTTTATTTTTTCACTTTTATGTAAGTTACAATAATTTAAAGTCATATTTTTTCCTACTTAGCTTTGAAAATGTATTACCAACAACAAATCTTCTGCCAAATAGGGTTTCAGGAGCAAGTATGGAGGACTTAACTACCATTTAAAACATTGTCCCTACAAGTAAATGAGCTTTCAATTTTCCACAGCTGGCTTCCTAGTGCACTTTAGAAACTAAAGTATTCTGATACTGGGAAAAATACATATTTCCAAATAGAGATTCTCCGGACCCTCAGTTTCCAGCACAATTTTCTAAAACCTCCATTTTCAGTAGAGTGAAAGTTACGACACTTGGTCTCTGACTTGTTATGGGTGAATAATCATACAGTGATGTTTCTCTTTAAGGTATCCTCACCTGAGTCCCAAGAACAAGGAGTCTTTTGATGTGGGCTGTAACCTCTTTGCCAAGTTTTCTGCATACATCAAGAATACACAAAAAGAATCAAATAAGAGTAAGATACCTTTGTTTAACTTTCTATTTCTCTCACACACATTTGCTGACTCCCACATTCTCACTTAGCTAAAATGGGATTTTCCTGAGTATGTAATATATGTTGGGGAATGCACTCTTCCTCTGATTCTTTCTTCTCTCCTTTGAAACTCCTTTACATGAAATTTTATTAAATTTAGAACCCAAGATTCAATATAACAACTACTAACTTGGCTCATTTAAAACAATGACATCCTAGAAGTTAACTAACTGCAGGGCTGTATTTTTGAGTCCTCCAACTTTTCCTGTGTGCCTTTAAGGGTTCTTAAACTGTAGCATCTACTATCTATCTCCCACGAACATTCTTGAATGGGTTTACTATGTTCTGAGTCATGAGAGCTATTAGTCTCTGATTCCACTTTCTGACTCTTCTGTGTTTAATGATAACATATATGACTTTTTCTTTTTTTGACTCTTCTCCCAATGCACCTGCTCAAGAAGAGTCTAGAAGTATTTGATTGAACACCTAATTCTGTCTCATCAGTGGGTAGTTGAGAGTTCTAGCTATCTAGATTTTGAAGCACCAGTGTAAGCAATTTGTGTATGGATAGAGATGTCTAAATGTATGAAAAGCTTATGTAAAATGTATTTAGTAACGAAGACAAAACATTTATTAGTAATCTGACTTCTTTGCCTCAGATTTTGAAAAATCTCTGCTCAGAGAATTTAAACGTCTGGATGACTACTTAAACACCCCTCTTCTGGATGAAATTGATCCAAATAGTGCTGAGGAACTCACAGTTTCCAGAAGAATGTTCTTGGATGGGGATCAGCTGACACTGGCTGACTGCAGCTTGTTACCCAAACTGCACATTATTAAAGTAAGCCTTTGTAGGTCGTGCTGAATGGTTTGGGAGGGGTTTGGGAGTTGCCAGCATGAAACACAGTGACTATTTAGTGTGAGATTGTTATATGGTGGCTTTGTCATCATCGCTATACATAGTGTGTATCTCCTTTTTCTCCTCAGAGGAAAAAAATCCACAATGATCTCCTCTTGAAACCATAAAAATTTCTGGTTTCTTTTTTCCCAAATCACAAGATGCTTCCCACTGGCTTATCTATAAAACAAGGGAAAGAGGTGCCTGGGCAGCTCAGTCAGTTGAGTGTCTGACTCTTGATTTCAGCTCAGGTCAAGATCTCATGGTTCATGAGTTCAAGTCCCGCATGGGGCTCTGTGCTGACAGTGCAGAACCTGCTTGTGATTCTCCTTCTCTCTCTCTCTCTCCCTCTCTCTTTCTCTGCTCCTCCCATTCCTGCACACGCACTCTCTATCTCAAAATTAATTAATTAAAAAAACAAGGATGATATTACCCATTTCATAGAATTGTTGATAAAATCAAATAAATTGAAGCATGTAAAATGCTTAGAAGAGTGTCCTAACAAGTGATAAATATATGAGCGACTAATAATTTCATGATGACTTAATCGTTGATTTAATAACTTCTTATTGAACAGAACTTATTCTTTCTCAGGTCCCATGCCAAACACACAGAATACATAAAGAAATAAGACATAGTTGGGACCCTAAGCAAACTTAGTCTAGTGGAGAAATATGCTTCCTTCTAATAATCAAAGCATAAATATAAAAATGATTATATAAAAATAGCTTTGTCAACATTTATAAACAAAACATTAAAATAGTAAGTGCAAGATTATTTTTGTGCAGATAACATGTCCTTAATGATTTTGACTCTTGAAATATGTTTCTACACACTAGGCATGTCATTGATGCCTTTTATACCAACTTTTTTTTCCCTAAAACCCTAGGTTGCTGCCAAAAAATACCGTGACTTTGACATTCCAGCAGAATTCTCAGGAGTCTGGCGCTATCTTCACAATGCTTATGCCCGAGAAGAATTTACCTACACTTGTCCTGAAGACAAAGAAATTGAAAATACCTATGCAAGTGTGGCTAAGCAGAGTTAGGGCAGTTTTTTCAGTAGAAAAAGCCCTCTTTAAACTTGTCATATTATAAAGGTTTCTGGAAATAAGAATATGAAAAATACTGTTTCCTCTACCTAACTCTCATGAAAAGAATACTGTATTTTCTGTATCTGATCAGTCCAAACTATCTTCCCACTGTGTATTTTAAAGTTCTTTATATTTTCACTTATATTTCTTTATTCCTATAGCATAAGCACTGCAATATTAAACGACATGAAAGCATCATGATCTTTTGCTACTGAATTGAATTCCTAGAATGCATTATGTGTAAGCTCAACAGATGGCTGAACTTACAAATGATATAAGTAGAGCCACAATCTTAAACTTTTCCTTAGAAACACTTCCATCTAGGGGTGGCTGTGTGATTCAGTACGTTATTTGTCTGACTTTGGCTCAGGTCATGATCTCATGGTTTCTGGGTTCAAGCCCCACGTCAGGCTCTGTACTGATAGCTGCTCAGAGCCTGGATCCTGTTTCAGATTCTGTGTCTCCCTCTCTCTCTGACCCTCCCCTGCTCATGCTGTCTCTCTCTCACAGAAAAAAATAAAACATGTTAAAAAATTTAAAAAAACACTTCCGGGAGAACAGCAAGATGGCAGAGAAGTAGGGAGCTCCATGCATTTCGCTTGCACCCATCTGTCAAACAGAGAAGGCCCGAAGCCATAGGACACTGAGCCACAGGAGTTTGGGAAGAGAAAGTGACAGAATACACTGGGAAGGAAACCTCATAAGTGCAGCTACCTCAAGAAACAAGCCAAACTACACATGGTGGAGAGTCTGAAATACCACTATGAGTAGGGAAACAAAATAACCAAATGCTCAACAAGAGAAACCAAGAGACACCATTCAAAGAACACTTCCTGAACAGTCAGGCCCTGAAAAAAGAGCCCTCTCTAATACAGCAGAACTCGCAGGGGCAGAGTGTACAACAAGCTTTTAAAATAAACAAAAGAAAGAAAGCTAACAAAAATGAAAAAAAAGAAGAACTCTCCTCCAAAGAAATTACAGGAAGAAATGACAGCTAAAGAACTGCTCAAAACAGATATAAGCAACATAACTGAACAAGAATTTAGAACAATAATCATAAAATTAATCGCTGGGCTTGAAAAAAGCATGGAGGACATCAGAGAAACTATGGCTACAAACACGATGGAGCTTAAAAATAGTTATGATGAATTAAAAAAATGCGATAAATGAGATACGTAATAAAATGGAGGCATCCAACTCACAGATTGAAGAGGCAGAAAGGAGAATAAGTAATTTAGAAGACACAATTATAGAAAAAGGGGAAGCTGAGGAAAAGAGAGATAAACTGATCCAGGAACATGAAAGAAGAGTTTGACAGCTCACTGATACAATCAAATGGAACAATATCCGTATCATAGGAATCCCACAAGAGGAAAAGAGAGGGAAAGGTGCTGAAGGAGTCTTGGAACAAATTATAGCAGAGAACTTCCCCAACCTGGGGAGGGAAGTAGATGTTGAAATTCAAGAGGCACAGAGAACTCCCCTTAGACGTATCTTGAATTGATCTTCTGCACGACATATCATAGTGAAAATGGCAAAATATAAGGACAAAGAGAGAATTTTGAAAGCAGCTAGGGAGAAAAGGGCCGGAACATACAAAGGGAAACCTATCAGAGTGGTGACAGACCTATCTACTGAAACGTGGCAGGCCAGAAAGGAATGGCAGGAGATCTTCCATGTGATGAACAGAAAAAATATGCAGCCAACGATCCTCTATCCAGCAAGCCTGTGATTCAGATTAGAAGGAGAGATAAAAGTCTTTCCTATTAAACAAAATTTGAGAGAATTCGTCACCACTTGTAGTCGCCCTACAAGAAATCCTGAGGGGGACTCTCTGAGGGAAATATTCCATGGAACGCAAGATACTAGAGACACCACCACAAGCATGAATTCCACAAACGACATAATGACTCTAAACCCATATATTTCAATAATAACACTGAATGTAAATGGGCTGAATGCTCTAATCAAAAGACACAGGGTAGCAGAATGGATTAAAAAACAAAATCCATCTATTTGCTGTCTACAAGAAACACATTTTAGACTGGCAGACACCTTCAGATTAAAAGTAAGGGGATGGAGAAATATCTATCATGCTACTGGAAGTAAAAAGAAAGCTGGAGAAGCTATACATATATCAGACAAACTGGAATTTAAAAAAAAGACAGTAACAAGGGATGAAGAAGGGCATTATATAATAATTACAGGGTCTATCCATCAGGAAGAACTAACAATTATAAATGTCTATGCACCAAATATGGGAGCACCTAAATATTTAAAACAATCCCAAACAGAAACAATCTCATCCATAAGAATAGCTAATAGCAGGGGACTTTAATACTCCACTTACAGCAATGGATAGATCAACCAGACAGAAAATCACAAAGAAAAAATGGACTTGAATGACACATTGGACCAGATGTATGTATCTGACAAATATATTTAGAACTCTACATCCTAAGGCCATTGAATTCACTTTCTTCTCAAGTGCACATGGCACATTCTCCAAGATAGATCATATACTGGGACATAAAGCAGCCCTCAATAAATATCAAAGAATTGAGATCATACCATGCACACTTTCAGATCACAATTCTATGAAACTTGAAATCAATCACAGGAAGAAGTCTGGAAAACCTCAAAAAACATGGAGGTTAAAGAACACCCTACTTAAGAACGAATGGGCCAATCAGGCAATTAGAGAAGAAATTTAAAAATATATGGAAACAAATGAAAATGAAAACACAACAATCCAAAATCTATGGGATGCAGCAAAGGCAGTCCTAAGAGGAAAGTACACTGCAGTCCAGGCCTATTTCAAGAAATTAGAAAAAGCAGAAGTCCAAAATCTAACAGCGCACCTAAAGGAACTAGAGGGAGAGCAACAAGAGCAGATCAAACCCAGTAAGAGAAGGGAAATAGTAAAAATCAGGCAGAAATAAACAATATAGAAACCAAAGAAACAGTTGAACAGATCCATGAAACCAAGAATTGGTTCTTTGAAAAAATAAACAAAATTGACAATCCTCTAGCCAGGCTTCTCAAAAAGAAAAGAGCACTCAAATAGACAGAATCATGAATGAAAATGGACTTATTACAACTAACGCCTCAGAAATACAAGCAATTTTCAGGGAATACTATGAAAAATTATATTCCAACAAATTGGACAACTTAGAAGAAATGGACAAATTCCTAAACACACACTCAGTACCAAAATTCACACGGGAAGAGATAGAAAATCTGAACAGACCCATAAGTAAAGAAATCGAATCAGTTATTAAAAAGCTCCCAACAAATAAGAGCCCTGGGCCAGATGGCTTCCCTGGGAAATTCTACCAGACATTTAAAAGAGAATTAATACCCATTCTTCTCAAACTATTCAAAAAAAAAAAAAGAAAAGAAATCGAAGGAAAACTTCCAGACTCATTTTATGAAGTCCACATCACTCTGATTCCCAAGCCAGACAGAGATCCAGCAAAAAAAGATAACTACAGGCCAATATCCTTGATGAATACAGATGCAAAAATCCTCAACAAGATACTTGCAAATCGAATTCAACAGCACATAAAAAGAATTACTCACGAAGATCAAGTGGGATTCATTCCTGGGTTACAGGGCTGGTTCAATATTCACAAATCAATCAATGTGATACATCACATCAGCAAAAGAAAAGATAAAAACCATATGATCCTGTCGATAGATGCAGAGAAAAGCATTTGACAAAATACAGCATCGCTTCTTAATAAAGACCCTCGAGAAAGTCGGGATAGAAGGAACCTACTTAAACATCATAAAAGCCATCTATGAGAAGCCTTCAGCTAACATCCTCCTCAACGGGGAAAAACTGAGAGCTTTCCTCCTGAGATCAGGAACACGACAGGGATGTCCACTCTCACCACTCTTGTTTAACATAGTGCTGGAAGTCCTAGCATCAGCCATCAGACAACTAAAGGAAATAAAAGGCATCAGAATTGGCAAAGAAGAAGTCAAACTCTCAGTTTTTGCTGACAACATGATACTCTACATCGAAAACCCTACAGACTCCGCCAGAAGCCTACTAGAGCTGATCCATGAATTCAGCAAAGTTTCAGGATACAAAATCAATGTGCTGAAATCGGTTGCATTTTTATACACCAATAATGCAGCAACAGAAAAAGAAATCAAGAAACGGACCCCATTCACAATTGCACAAAAAAACCATAAAATACCTAGGAATAAACCTAACCAAGGATACAAGAGATCTGTATGATGAAAACTATAGAATACTTATGAAGGAAATTGAAGAAGACACAAAGAAATGGAAAAATATTCCATGCACATGGAT